CTTGACAGAAGAAGAGGAATAGAGAAACTCATAAAAAGAAGTGTACAGAGAACCTAACCTATCCTTGCTAAGAGTAAAAAAAGCTCTAAAATAAGAATCAAAAGTTTTCTCTGTATGTAAGGTTGGAGAAGATAAAAATCGATGAACATAATTCAAGGGTTGATATTTAGGCCTAAGTCAAACTCGAGAGACCAAACCTCAGGAAAATAGTCATAAAGCCAAATCTGGAAAAAATAGAAGGTTCCTCCACAATTGATAGTAATTCTTTGATTAAACAGACCTCTGTCTAATGCCCTAAAACAAAAAAGGGGCCAAGGTAAGTTTCTTTTTTCTTAGCCAATTGAATGGCTACCAACAAATTATTTGGTTAATTTAAGGCCAGGGACAAAAAAAATGAATCGACAAAGTCAATGGAGAAGGAAAGCAACATGCTCCACAAACAAAGACGTAGAAGACTTAGAAGCAAAGAAATGATTAATGAGGTCATTATACCTTATACTAGAAGGAATATTTACAAAATCATAGCTAGCCAGGAGACGCAAGCATTTACCGTCATACCCATCGATGGAAGCCTCGTTAGATGAACAATGTCAAGTATTGTTGGGGACATCATGCCAATGGGAAGAAGCATGACATTGCATGATTGAAACTAGAAACATGCGACAGTATCAATTAACCACTAATTCATGAGCATTTTGTAGATCTCTCCTTAATCATTTCAAATATGACTGAGCGTCTCCATTGAGAAGTGAAATAGGTTCTAATTTTGCAACTCCATAAATCAGGATTAATCCACGAATGAATATGATAGTTACCTGATTCCAGTACTTCCATAAGAGTTGGGATTGATTCTACATTAGGGTTTCACCTTCATGAACAGGGTAATGATCTGAGAATTCCTCAAAAACATATGACTTTAAAGAAGGACCAAGAGCAAGATTCCCACTAAAACTAGGGGTAGAAAGCAAAATCCTATGATCCACTGGGTCATGAGTCATCTACTTGATGACAGTAGGAAATCTTGGGGAGATAGGGATTTCAGAAGAAGACAAAGATGGAGGGTTTTGCTTCTTTGGAGCCATTCCAAACGCTAGAAAAGAAGAATCGTTGGAGGTAAAGGAAAATAGGAAGTAAATGAAAGAAAGAAGAATGAATAAGTTCAGTGTCCGAAATTCCTTAAATAGGTGTTTTAAACCAAATTAAATGAGGGGAACATTGTTTGGACATAAAATATTAAATTTTAGAAATATTCAGTGTATTGACACCTGGCAGTCTGGATAAACTAAGGAAGTGTCACATGATAGAATATGAAGAAAGGCGGAAAATGATCAGCCATGTTTGGAAAGGAAGAATAACCAATTGACTATAAAAAGGAAGTTATCAATCGGTAATCATCAATGAGAGCAAAACCGTCAAAGACATTGACTTTAAAAAGGGCATTTAGTGAAAAAGCCAAGATACACTCAAATCCCCACAAGACCCACGATCTGGGCATTTTTAGAAGTAGTTTTAGATTAATTTTTAGGAGATAGTTATTGCCACAATCAAGACTGTTTATTCAGTCTTTCTGTAACTGAAGTCACTTCGATTAAGTCATAAATGAATCCTGTTTTATTAGTTCTTTGTACTGTCTGTTTGTTCATTATTTCTTATCCAAGAAAGTCCAAAAACAAGACATTTGAACGCCTTACAAACAATCGCCAGAAAATATTTTTTGTCGATTGAGATATCTCTGTTGATCCCAACAAATTTTGGAGCAACACACTCACCACCTAATTGTATTTATGAAAGAGGTGTAGAGCTAAACTCGTTACCATTCACCATTCAGAACTTACCAAATTGATAAGAATTAAACAAGAAGATATTCTTTTACTCAATAAGCCATGTAACATAGCCGATCCAATGGCTAGCCATTGAAACAGCTGCCTAGGCCTTAATATTTTTAGGGCTTAAATTTTTGGGATCTCAAATAAGACTTTTAAATTCATATTTAGGTTTAATTTTATTTTTAGGGTTCCAAATACAAAATTTAATCCACTGCTTAATTCAGATTGATTCTAATTTTTTTGTCCCAAATATAATTTTTAGATCCAATACCAACTAAGCCCAATTTAATTCGAGGTACTGGGAATGAAAGTTCCCTATTAGGATCTCTAATCAAGCTTGATGCCTTAATTTAATGATGGTTGCTTATCTGAGTAAGAAGACAATGGCTCCTATTATTGGTGAGCTATCCTGTCCACACGTTATTTTTGGGCATTTTACTTTCTTTCAACTAGTAGACTATTCAAACCTCAGAGTATTCGGATGCACGTACTTTGTTCAAATTGCATCCCCTGCACAAGACAAACTGAGCCCTACATCTCGTCCTTAAATAAAATTGTTGAATCTTTGTTCAATTAAGTTCAATTTTATATTCATAGCCACAAATAAAAATTGTAAACAAAGGTTTAATTAAGTCTAATTTTATTTTTAAAACCTCAAACAAAATTTTTGTGCCCATGTTCAATTAAGGCCCCGATACTATTTTTAGACTTGAGGTTTGTCATTTATGAACATTTTATTTTCAATAAAATATAAAAACATTTTATTGTTCCATTATGTTAGATTTATCATTGTATTAGCTATTAGAATTTATATGTATTAGAAATAATCTATATCGAAAAATATATTTACAAAATTCGAATACACAATTTAAATAAAATTTTGCACATCAAAAGGTGAGAAACTAATTTTTAATTAAATAAATCTTAATAATTAAATAATTAGACAAAATTAATGATACTATTATACAGAAATTATGAGGGCCTTATCTAAAATTTTCATCTCAACGGTTTGTGTCCCCCACCCCCCTGGCTGGCCATATGATATACATATATATATGACGACCACGCACTTCAAACTTGGTTATTTTTGGAGTTCGGTTGATTTGTAAAGGTCGTTTTGGTTATTGATTGTAAATTGAATTAGGTTGATTAATTGTAGTTTGAACTAGATTTGATTGAGCAGCATGGTGAACATTGGTTGGGCTTCTTGGGTGGCGTATGGAGGTGTGTGTGTGAGGGAAGAGAGAGAAGAAAGAGGTGTTTTGTGAAGGCTCAAATTCTCTCCAATATACCTTTCTTTTTTTAATTTTTTTTGCATATCATTTATAATTAATGGGTGAGGGACCCACTTATATACATTATGTCCTATTAAAATGCATGGTAAGTGATCAATCAAGAAAGAAATTGAAGAGAAAATATATTGGAGGAAATTTCAATCCTTTTGGTATGACAATAAATAGGTCAAGTTTGATTTTGGGGTCTATTTGTAGGGAAGGAGGAGAGGGATGGGGTGGTTGCAGCATCAAGGCCATGATGGTGTGGTAGAGAGTTATGGCTAAGGGTGGGTGGGGGCTGAGCTAGATGCGGTGGCAATGGGGTGACACACTTAGACGAGAGTATTAACACTGGGTTTTTTTATTTTTGCATTTTCTAGAATAAAAGCAAAATGGATTTTTATTTCTATAATTTTCTAATTTTTTTCCGTGGGGGGTTGGGGGAGTGTGTGACGAAGTCATCAAAATTCCTTTGCCAATTAATGATATAGGAGGATAAAAATCACCATATCTCCTAAGCTTTATGAAAGAATTGTCCCTCCTTCAAATTGCTACCTGGAAAAAAGAACAAACTACATAGGATCGAAGTGCTTCAATCAAAGGCACTCCGATACTTAAGTCAGTAAATGTGTATGAAGAAAATATATGTAAAAAAAGGATTCAACTTATGTCCAACCATGCATCCTCACTAGGATTCCCTTTACTAGTGTGGGAGATGACACATATCCTTCATTCGGGATTGTTTGCTACGGATCACAAAAATCTCTCTAATGCTCCCTTGATCATAGATCTTTAAAGTCATTGACTATGCCTAGCTATTGCACCTAAATTTCTCAATTATAGACGATCATCTCATTGTTTGGTTTATGCCAAGTCTTCAAGTTGTGTTGTGCACACATGCTCAGTAGTATGAGCCGAGCTGTTGCAATTCGATTCGGTTTGTTCTAGGCTGTAAGTACTTATGCCCCACGTCATCTGTCTCATCATGATCACGTGAGTCACGCGAGTATTTCACCTATCTATACATGTGGCATTATTTCATGCTCATTCACTTGCCCCATAAAACACATGTATTTTACTTGCCTTGTCTCTTCACATTAAATGTTTGTCCTTTGGCTTCCCCCTTCCTTTGGCTCCTGCTCATCTTCTTTAAAAGGAGGTGCAAAATGACTTATCTCTCTGCGAAACTTTCACTTTACTTGCTTCCCTGCTCATCTATTCAATCACTTTTCATCTCTCCAAATGGCTCCCCTTACACAAGAAGACATTCCAGCTTTGGCACCAGCGAGTCAATCCCTATCCACACACGAGCAGTCACTGAAGCTGGGGTAAGATTTTCTTTGCACCCACTACTACTATTGGTGCTCTCAACCGTGAAGCTATGCCCTATTCAGTGCTATTCCAACTTTTTCAAAATATTCATGGGTGTTGCTGCCTTAAATGACCTTTTGAACGTAAATCTAGGTAGCTAGAAAACCCTATTCTGCTACATTCTAATGCCAACAGGTGACAACTACTACCTAGCAGTGAGAAGGAAGCATCGATACTTGGTAACCCACCTCCCCGATTCAAACAAGGGCCACGAAAATGATGTCATTTTCATTTTTGGGAACTGGGAGTACAAGGTGGGAGATACTCTTTCTTACAGGTGCCCATATGAAGAAGGCATACTAGGTAAATGAACATAGTCCTCTTTGGATTTTCTAGACTATAAACCCTTTTTTTTTCACTAACTTTCTTCTATTCTTCTGTATTTAGGGGAGACTGTCAAAGGACAAATTCTTGAGCACTATGAAAATGGATAACCTGAGGAAAATGTGGTCTTTTAATGAGAGCCAGTTTTGTTGAGCCGCCCATGTCCTTCTTGGATACACCCCCACCTATCACTCATTCATTGCAGTCCTTGAGCGAGTCAATGCCACACTTGTCGAAGATCGAGATGAATTGCAAGCTCAGCGTGCTGCTACCCCGTGTTCTCGGCAAAAATTCGTCATCCCTTCATCTGGAAGGAACAGATCAGTGAAGAATTTTCTAATTTTCCTTTCTTTGGGTGAGCCTTCCAAATCCACACCTTCAATTGTTCAAATTTCTGATGATGTAACTCCTTTACCTACCCTAGAAGCTGACCAAACATTTCTTTCTGATGATGCCCTTGAACCTGCTGAGACACAAGTTAGTCATGAGGCTTCAATTCCTCCTCCTGAACCTAATTTTGAGGTGGTGCTTGCTAATCCTTCAATTGCCTTATCACCAACTTAGTCAGCTAATGCAGACGTGTAGACCAAGGAGTGTTTGATCAAAAAAAAGAAGGATTGTAGAGCCCCCTTATGAAATTCTTGTTGAGCGACCAATCCCTACCTTCTATTCTATCCTGAAAGAGAAAGGAAAAGAAATCATTGTTTGGGACTCAGCTGTCGAGGACACGAACGTTGCAGTCGAGATAGCTAGGAGAGTGATCCAGCCACGTGATCTTTTTACAAATGAGGTAGTATCTAATCATGAGATTATTTGACACACCATTCAGTAAATAGTTTTGGTATTTGCCTTGCTCTCTTTATTTTTATTCAGAAAGGTGATCTATCTTTGTGTTTTCATTCATTTCTTTTCTCTTTTTAATAAGTGACTCCAAAAAGTTCACGAAGTTAGGGCAAGGATTGCCAGAAAAGGCAAAGTCATGAAGGAAGCAATTCATGAACGTATGTCCGCCCAAGCAAAGAAGGAGTTTGTTGATGAAGAATATGCCGAGCTTTGTAAAGAAATGCTTGTTCTTCAGGCTCAAATGCTCAGCCTAACAAACGAGAACAAAAAGCTTGCAGCGAAGGTGGAGGTGGAGGAGTTGAAAGCTTTAGAGAGTGCAATTAATGTAGAGTTTTCCTAGACCCAGCTTGAACACTCTACTCTGTTGGAGAAATTTTAGAGGTTCAAGGCTAAAGCCAAGGATCTTAAAGATGCTGCCTTTGAACAGGAGATGGTGAAGATAGAGAATGATCTAGCCTTATAGATTCCGTCACTGGAAGATGCATATTTCTCAAAGTGTTGGGTTACTGCTCTGAAAGCTGCCAATGTGCCTTCTTCCTCTAAGCTCTTCCTATGCCATTCTATTCCTAGCTCCTCTAGACCTCCTACTTTTTCTTGAAAATACAACCTTTTATATTTTCATGTAAAAAAGCTTATTGTACTCTCCTTTTGGTATCTATGAAATAACTTTTCAATTTAGCTTTTTATACTTTATCCTGTTTGGTCTTTCTGTAAACGATTTGATCCTTTTGCGTTTAGCCAGAGACCTACCTATTACATCAACTTTTTACGTTTTGTTAAAGAGTTTTGGTCCCATATACTTTTAGTTAGGGATTCTCAATACATAGAATTTTAATTTGTGGCTTCTGTTCGGTGCTTTCTCAAAGAGCTAGGTCCCAAGTACTTTTGCTTGGGACTCTTCTAAAAAATCTTATTTTTTATTCTAAGAGGTTTTGGCCTCTGTTCGTCCCTTCTTCAAAGAGCTAGGTCCCCAAGCATTTTTACTAGGGACTCTCACTTAGAAAAAATCTTATTTTTTACTCTAAGAAGTTTTGGCTTCTGCGCGGCCCTTCTTCAAAGAGATAGGTCCCAAGCATTTTTGCTATAGGGACTCTTACTTAGAAAAAATCTCATTTTTTACGCTAAGAAGTTTTGGCCTCTACTCGGCCCTTGTTCAGAGAGCTAGGTCCCAAGCATTTTTGCTAGGGACTTTTACTTAGAAAAAATCTTATGTTTTACTCTAAGAAGTTTTGGCCTCTGCTCGGCCCTTCTTCAAAGAGCTAGGTACCAAGCACTTATTAGGGACTCTTAGAAAAAATCTTATTTTTTACTCTAAGAAGTTTTGGCCTCTACTCGGCCCTTCTTCAAAGAGCAAGGTCCCAAGTACTTCTGCTAGGGACTTCAAATATTTAGAGAATTTTCAACGGATGTTTTCCTAAAAAAACTTGTACCCCCTGGGCCTCCCTTCAAAGAAAAAGTTTCTACATGTGCACCAACCTGTCGATCTAATCAGACTTAGATCATTGCCCATTCAATTTACATCGTCATGCCTAACCATGGGCTTGGATTTGATCAGGTGGCTACACCTGATTTAGGTTTCCACCTCTATCAAGATTTTTGCCTCTCTGCCCTGGCAGTAGGATGGGTTTGATAAACAACTATATTTGACAAATCCAAAAGGTCAAAAAGACGGATACCTTTATTATAAAAAATGTTTTGCATAAGAGGAATATTCCTAACAAAGGTACTCTTTTTACTTTTTTATTGGTAAGGAACTATAGAGGGCACCTCTATTTCTCAAACGTACTTCGGAGTTCTTACTTGTGAAGATACTTCAAAAATAGAACTTTTGTTGATTAGCTATATTCTAGTACCAAGTTACTCGTCTCTAGTCCATAGTCTCGAGTTTGTAAGATTTGTTTCCTATGACTCGAGTTACCTTGTAGGGTCCTTCCCAATTGGCACCCAACTTTCCATGCGTCGAATCCTTGATGACCCGCATGACACGTCTGAGGACTAGGTCTCTGAGAACAAATGCTCAGAGACCTACCTTTTTGTTGTAAGCCCGATCTATTTGTTGCTGATAGGCAACTATCCACACTACTTTCGCCTCCCTCATTTCATCAAATAAATCTAGCTCTTGACTAATGGCAGAGTTATTACTCTCATCCATTACTAAGTTGGTTCTGAGTGTTGGCAATCCGATTTACAAGGGTATTACAGTCTCCATGCCGTAACCGAGCACAAATGGAGTTTTCCCCGTTGTACGTCGGGGTGTGGTTTAATACATCCATAATACACTGGGCAACTCTTCTCCCTACCTCCCTTTTGCCTTTTCTAACCATTTTGTTATTCCATCAAGGATGATTTTATTCAAAATCTCCACTTGCCCATTACTTTGAAGGTAAACAGGAGTGGAATATCGATTCTGAATTCCATGTCGCTAACAAAAAGCTTTTGAAGGAACCGCTCTCAAACTGAGTCTTATTGTCGGATATAAGAACTACTGGTATGCCAAACCATGAGATAATGTTCTTCCATACAAAATGTTTTGGTATCTGTGTTCCTTATATTGGCCAAATGTTATGCTTCTACCGATTTCGTGAAGTAATCAGTTGCAACCAGTGGAAACCAATTATTCTCTGGAGCTCGAGGCAATGGGTCAACTATGTCAAGTCCCCACTGAGCGAAAGGTCAAGGGCTTATTAATGGGAGAAAATCTTGTGCGGGTTTAGCCTTTAGGTTATTAAAAGCCTCTTCATACTCTTGATCCCGTATTTGCTTGCCTTTTCTATTAATGGACTGAAAAAAAAAAAGGTTGGCATCTATTAGAGGCTGGGGATATAAATCTATCTAGTGCTACCATCATCCCAGTTAGTCTTTGCAATTCTTTAATCGATTTCAGCTGTTGCAACCGAGTCAAAGCCACAACTTGATCTGGATTCGCCTCTATTCCACAATGGGTGACTAAGAAACCCAAAATTTTCCCGGATCCAACCCTTAATGCACATTTTGAAGCGCTTAACTTCATTCCGAATTTATGAAGGACGTCAAAAGTTCATCTTAGGTCGGTGTGAACTTCCATAGTACTGTTGAGCATGCTAGAAAACATCTTCGTCACCAATCTTTGGTATGTTGTCCCGGCATTTTTTAGTCCAAAAGGCATTACCTTGTGGCAATAAATCCTCTCCGGGTTATGAACGATGTAGTTTCTTGGTCCTACTCGGCAAGGGGGATCTGGTGGAATCCCCTATATGCATCAAGGAAGCTCATTCGCTCGTGTCCGAAGGTTGCATCAACTAATTGATCAATTTTGGATAATAGAAAACTATCCTTAGGGCATGCCTTATTCAAGTTAGTAAAGTCTACACACACCCTCCATTTTCCTGTTTTCTTCTTTACCACCACTGTGTTTGACAACCAGGTCAGATACTAAACTTTTTTAATAGTTCGTGCCTCCAACAGCCTTGTCACTTCCTTTTTTATAGCTTCCCTATGTTGCAGGGCCTACCTCCTCTGCTTCTGATTTACAGGTTTGAAACTTGGGTTGACATTGAGGTGATGAAAAACAACTTCGGGAGGTACACCTGGCATTTCACTCGTTGTCCAGGCGAACACATCAATATATTCATTAAGAAGTGAGGCTAATCTTATGTGTTCCTCTGTCGTTAATGAAGATCCTAAAAAGAAATACTTTTCAGTGGTTCCATCTAAGGGCACCACTCTTATCTCATGTAGCCAGGTATGCTCCATAATGGCATTATATGCCGACTTAGCGTCCATCACCAAAAACTCAATCATCTTCCTGATCGGTCCTATATGAACTGGAAGGGTGATTTTTCCTTTTGGAAAAACCATCTTTCCACTGAACCCCACCAAAGGGGTATTTGCTTCCTTGAGGCCTAGTTTGTGAAAGATGCCTAGGTACATGATTTCAGAGGAACTCCCTTAGTCAATCAGCACCAGCCTAACATCAAAGTTTGTTATTCATATGGTAAGCAAGAGTGCATCATTTTGCAGGTGGTGTACCCCCTATCAAATTTTGTTCAAAAAAAATAATCCTCCCAGCTGCTTTATCCATCTTTAATTTCTTGTTCCCAATCCCATGGCTCGCCCTCAGCTGGAAAACTTCTCTGGCTTGAGCAACCAGTTTGATATATGCCCTATCCAAGTTATTTGTGGCCATGTATGGGTTTGTGGCTGCATGTATTACATTAATAATCCCAACATGAGTGGGTCGATCATGAGGGGTGCCTGTGGCACCACAGTTTTCATTTTTGGTTCCACCCTCCACAAATGATGAAAGGTGACCGGATTGGACCAATTCCTCTAAATGCTGCTTCAAATATCGTCAATTCTCTATCATGTGTCCAACATCGCAGTAGTAGGAGCACCTGAAGTTCAAGTTTCTTTTGGCAGGATTGCCTTCCAATTTGTTCAGCAATTTGAAATAGGGTTTTCCCTTTATTTGGGAGAGGATTCTATAGATTAGTTCCTTAAACACAGTGTTAACCCCCATGTATAGGGATTTGGAGGGAAACCCCTCTTTTTCTTTACCCTTTGCCCCTTCCTAGGCTTGTAGTCCCAACTTGTCCTTGCTAAATTGCTTCTTCCCAGCCTATTCTCTACTTGAATCTCTGCCAAGGTCGTCATCAACCTTAGCGTACTTTTCAACCCTGGCCATGAGCTCCTTCATGTCTATTGCCGGTCTTCTTGTAAGTAACTGATAGAGCGCATTTTCC